TACTAGTTTCTAACCAAATAATACCAAAAATTAGTATGGTCCATACTAATTTTTGGTATTATTTGGTTAGAAACTAGTATACGTTCATAACGTTTATTTTAAAAAATGTTATTTTTAATATAAATTTTACCTTTTTTAATAAATAAATAAACTTTGTTGGGTATAATAGCCCCGCAGTTGGGGCTATTATACTCACCACATCAAATTTCTCTATAACTTATTTGCTAACAATTTTTTTTGACATCTAACTTAAAGGATAAGAACTGATATTTTTTATTACTTAATTTCTTAATTTTAGTAAAGCACTGAGTAAAAAATATCGTTTTTTTTTTTTTTGTACAATAGCCCCGGTTAACGGTAATTACAAATTTAAAAACATTTTTCTATAAAGTTTTTATATTTTGATTAAACATGGAATAGAAAAATTTCGATTTTTGTTCCAAAACAGCTTCGGCTATTAACGGTGCTGAAAAAAAAAAATTAATTTTGTCTTTCTACTTCCTTAAAATTAGTAGCTATAAAATAATTTATAAATATCATCATTGTTTAAAATATTTTCAAATTTGTAATTAATTTTTTTTTTCATTTTAACTTTAATTTTACTCCATTATTATAATCCTTTCTGTAAAATAAAGTCGCCGACGATTATGTGTTTTATTTCATTTTAATAAAAACAAAAAAAAAATATGACACTAACCAGAAATAAGGGTCGTTTCCTCTCAAGAGAATAGTAAAAGAAAGTACACGACGAAAAATAAAACAGGAAACTTACAATCAAAAAGAAGGGAAAAAAAACTTCTATATATATATATATATATGTATAAGAAATAACATATAACGAAAACTGTCAACTAAAATTAATGACATGACATAATCAGAAAAAACGCAGATCCACCAGTGTAGATATTGTCAAGAATCGAAAGAATGAAAAAAAAAATTTTCACCAGGCAAAAAAATTCTAATATTATGGAAAAAGAGAAAAAGAAGATTAAAATAACCAGAAAGGAGATATCATATATATATATATGTGACGCTCCACGAGAAAAGAGACCTTATGATAAAAAAAAATTTAGGTTATGTTTGTAATTTTTAAAGTGAAAATACACAAAAAGAATCAGCTTTTTAAAAACATTTGTGTTTTTCGATTCGAAAAATTCATTTAAAAAAACCTGAAAACATAACCTCAAAATTAGGTGATAAGTAAGGATCAAGAAGCAAACATCCTTATATATTTCAACGTCAAATGTTAAGGACATAGGTCTACAGGGTTTGAGATTAAAATCGGCTAACATAACCTCAAAATTAGGTTAATTTCTAAGTCAATAGGTCGCTGGATTTAAAGTTGAGACTTAGAAATTGACCTAATATTGAGGTTATGTTAGCCGATTTTAATCTCAAACCCAGCGTTTTTTAAACCTAAGCCCTTAACATTTGATCTTTTCTTATCACCTAATTTTGAGGTTAACTGGCATAACCTTAAAAATACTTCAATTTCTAGGTGAAAAGAGGTTTGAGGTTAAAATCGGCTAACATAACCTCAAAATTACCAGTAGGCAAAAAACCATGTTCGTTTTAAAAACGTTTTAAGAACGTTTCATGTCTGCCAAATAATGTTCTAGAACATTATTTGAATATCTATGTGCTTAAAATGTTTCAGAACATTTTTTCGCAGACATGAAACATTCTAAAAACGATAAAAAGGAATCCTATAGTCAAATATGTTATATATATATATATATACAAACTTTCGAAAAATGTTGATATGCAAAATTTTATATTATAATTATACCAAAGTATATCGGGTAATTAATTTTATTTGAGGCAAATGAAAGTTCACCGCGCATATATATAGGAAAGATCTTCAAAGCGTGGAGGAATCCAGAAATCTATATATATATATATATATATATATATAATATGAACATTATTAGAAAGCCTAGTACATAGTTCTTGTTTTTACCGAAAGAAATCGATTTCTCACTATATCTATGTGTACACTTATAAAACAAAACGAACATCGCTTCGCGTCTAATTAGCTCGAATGATGTTTCGCTTGCGCGGGCGCGTGCGCTATCATTTTCTCGCTCTTCCGATCCGTGCCAGCGTGACACACCGCAACCTAAAAGGGAAATCGCGAACTATTCAATTGAAACCCTGATACTTTGCATTACATGGAATTTCTATACATAGTTAGATGTATACTATATCATTGTGGTGTATCACACGATATCTCGATTCCGTGATCCCTTGAAAACGTGCTCGCGCAGTTGTAATGCAAAAAATTAAACACTACATGAGGCACTCTACGTGAGATTTTAGTTCAAAAATTTTTTTTTATTCGACTTGAGCATTTTTTTTTCTTAAATTTTTATGAAAAAAATACGTATTTTTTGATTTGATAAAAATTTAAGAAAATTATGGTTTTTTTTTAAATCTAACGTCGTCCGAAGCCGAGTAATTTTAAAATGCATTTTTCTCTATCCTAGTAATAAATAAAAAATAATATTATACATTTTTGTTCGAGTATGTTCTTAAAAAGTTATAAACAATTAAAATTTTATTTATTAAATAACTTATTAAGAACATACTTATTAAAATATAAAAAATGTAACAATTGTAGAGAATGTTTCACTGAGTAAAATGAGCTTTTGTTTATAAAAATTTGTTAAAAATTGCAATTTTTGTCTGATTTAAAGGAAAAAAAACTAAATGTTAAAAAAATAATTATTGACAAAATATTTTGGAAAAAAATAATTTTTTTCGAAAGGATTAAATTCTAGATCTTTTAAAATTGTTTGAAATTAATATTTATTATATTTTTGTTTGCGTTAAAAATTTTTTTTTAGTTTTGACAGGTTTTTGAGGTTATGTTGACCCGCCACTCTCCTTAATACCTCTAAATAAAATAAAAATGAAATTTTTTGTTTGTTTTTGAGATATATAATATTTTTTCAATTTGTCTTTCTCTCGATAAAGATAATTGTATTTTCTCTATAAATTCGCTTTTAATCTTGTTCGTCACCTTCACACCATGAGCCCTCCACCAACAACCAATTTCCTTTTATAATTCAATTTGCGCTGATCAAACGCATTTTCATTAAAGCTCCTCCCTTTTTTGCTAATACATAATTCCTTTTTTATTCTCAATAATCTTTATATTTCTGAACTTCAAAAAAAAAATTGTCAAGTTTCATTGTTAAAGTATTTGAAAAAAAAGATTCACTAATTTCATAAAATTATTATAGTAAAAAAAAAGCTCATATTTAGTTAGTAAACTTTATTGCTGCAGAAATTATTGATTCAAATACAGTTTATTTAATTCAAATAAAAATTATGTGCTTCAAATAAATATTTATTTGTTATAATAGTCAAGTAACTGAGTATTTGAATTGAATAATTTTTTTTTTTCAATGTTTATTCGAATTAAGATTTAGGGTCGATATTATTTTGACACAAAATTTTTCGTAACAATTGTTATATTGTACAACCGATGATGATGTTAAATTTCAAAATTATTATAAAATCCAAAATATGCACTATTTTTATCTTATTCTTATTTTTAAGAATAAATTAACTTTTAATTTTCAGTTGTTTCATTTGAATTTGAATTTTTCTACAAATTAACATTATCACCGGTTGTACAATAATATTGTTACAAATTATTTTATGTCAAAATAATAGGGGAGGATGGGGTAAGGATAGTTAGGTAAGACATTTTTTGATCTAATAGCTAAAATTCAACAGGCATCGGAAAAAGAATATTAGTATCGTTCGAAAGCCTGTTTATTTATTAGCTACAATTTTGTAATACATTATTTTACTGTGTATTGCAATGCCTTCGAGATATTAGCGGAAAATTAAAAAAAAAATTTAACTATCCTTGCCCCACTATTGGGGCAAGAATATAGTTATATCAAAATTCTTTTTACGAAAAATAATCAAAAAAAAGACATTAAATTTTGGGTTTTTTTAATTTCATTGGATAAAAACACTTCAAAACACTTCAAAGCACTACCAAAAAAATTATTTGTACATAAATAAATATTTAAAACAGTTAATATTTGAAACAGTGTTTTAAACAGAACTGAGAAATTTTAGAAAAAACAGGATTTTTACAAATAAACACGTAGCTTCCATAAATGATATCGCATCAAGATCAAATTTTTCTTGACGTCTTTTGGTGTTAAAACAAGTATATATGAAGAATAGTGCCCTTTTTGAAGAACCCGTATAGCCAATAGAGTCACTAACTATCCTTGCCCCATCCTCCCCGACCCAAAATTTATGTTACAAAAAAAAAAAAATTATTTGATTAAAATAATAATCCGTTACTTCAACGTTCGGCAATTATTTTAATTTTTGAATATTTTATGAAATCCTATTTTAAGATTTTGAAAATTTATCCGTTATACATAAATCAATCGATTGTTTAATAAAGAAATTAAATGGAAAAAATTTTCACCTTGTTAATATAGTAATTATGTATAGAAATCTATAAATATATAGTGTGAAAATTATATTTCTTTTTTCCCTAATGCACGGGCCATAATTTCACAAAAAGATATAAACCCATCTAATGAATTTGAACTGAAATATATATAAATTTGATCACACCTTTTATTTTCTTATTATAATAATATTATATATATATATATATAAGAAAATTTAATAATAGGTGTGAGTGTATATTGGATTTTGAGATATAAATATCTTACTTAAATATAGCCGTGTTCTGTTAAACTCTCGCCGACTCAATCTCTTTTTGATTCGGGTGCGAAAGACGGATTTACTTCTTTTTGAAAGTTATATATTTATATATATTATAAAAGTATAGAAAAAGTGCTACTTTTATTGTGAACGATGCCCCGTACTATAAGAGTGTTCACGCCCGCCGCATTTACTTCCAAAAACAACCTCCATGATCCTTTATCCCCCTCTTCCTTTTCCTTAATGCAGGTTTGATCGTTTTAATATAAGATCAAGTATAAAATATTACATACCAGCGAAGGGCGGATCCATATGTGTAGTGTGCGTGGAGCCGATATATACCCTCGATCTTTCTTCTTCGCATCAATCCACCTACTCGGAGATCTGAAATATATATATAATAAAATATAAATAAATCAGTAAAAAGGGAAATAAAAATTGAGGGGTGGATATATAAAAATCAAATATATAAATATATCCCGTGTGGAAATTGAAAAATGGTCCTAACTTGGTCCCATCTAGTTTGCCGTTTTATTATCTAGGTCCTATCTTGGCAGTCTAACTTGGTCCTAAAATGGTTGGTGATGCGATTTTAGCCTGGTCCTAATTTGGGTGCCTATTTAGGACCAATATAAGGGTCCTTTTTAGGTCCTAGATAGGACCAGCTTTTTTAAAATTCACATAATTTTAATAGGATTAATTATTTGTTAATAAATTTTGATAACATAATTTTGTATATTATATTGAAATTAATATATTTGCTTACTTTTAGTACATACATATATATACAAAAACTTACTTATAAAATCTTTGTTTCTTTACGCATATATAATATATATATTACCATATATGTACATAAATAATGTATTAACAATCAAATATTCGTAGATTTTTTAAAAAAATAAACATTTAAATATAACTGGACTTTTACAAAGGTTTAGCTTGCACCCTATGATTTAAATAAATCTGTTTCTTCCATACTATAGTTCTCTTCGATATAAAATCTTTTTTTTTTTAAATTATAGAAAGTTTCTTTGAAAAAAATTATCTTTGTTTCAGAAAAATTTTAATTTTTTTAATCAAAGATATTTTTTTTGATTTTATATTAGTATTGAAACTTCTTTGATTGAAATTTTTATTCTTTTAAATTTTTCAACTTATTTCAATCAAAGAAACTTTATGTAAATTTTAGAAAAACTTTTTGTTTAAAAGGAAATTTGTTTCGAATGATACAAAACAAATCAAAGCAACTGACTTTTTCAAATAAACAATCCCTTTTTTCTGGGTGTATATAATAAAAAAAAAATGTAATCAATAATAATAAATAATAATAATAATAATAAATCAATAAACAAGCAGAATTACATTGCACTTTTTACACAAGAACTTAACCTCTAAATAACTTCTGCTTATAGTTTCGTCCGTTTCGTCTGCTAGGGTTGAAAAAGTAGGGGCAAAAAAATTCAAATTAAATGTAACCCTTCTCATTTTGTTTAATATAAATCTAATTAATAATTAATTAAAATTTTTAAAAAACTATGGTATATTTATATTTTTTTATTATTTTATAATTATTTTATTATTATAATTATTTTATTATTATAATTATATTATTAATTATAACTAATAATGCCAAAATACTCCGATATAACTAAAATGGCTTGTAAAAGCAGGACCAAGTTAGGACCAAATTAGGAAATATTAACATTTTCTGCCAAGTTAGGACCAGCTTAGGGCCAATTATCATTTTAGGCATACCTTGGGGATTTCTACTCGGGATATGTGGAAGCTATATACAAGGTGTTCCAAAAGTATGGAAACTTGCAAATATCTCGAAAAGTACGAATTTTCGTAAAAAATGTTCAATACAAAAGTTGTTCCAAACAAAAAGATCTACATTGTTGAAACCAAAAAATTGGGCCCCGGGCCCAATGTTGGGCCTTACAATGAAAAAAGTAGTTTTCTTAAATGAGACCACCAATTTTGAATATCAAATTCGTAATCCGCATGAAATTCTGCGTTCAGACATGTGGTATAAGTGTCCAAAATATTGGGCCCAATCCAAGATATCGGGCCCAATATTTTTCGACAAAGAAATAAATTTAAAAAATCGTATCTGTGGGGGTTTTTTAGGTCACAGGATTACAAAATTCAAAGCTACTTTTCAAATTGAGCACAGAGCCCAATGTAGGATTCCGCGGCCCAATGTAAGGCTCACAGTAAAAAAATTAGTTGTCTAAAATAAAACCCACTAATTTTTAGTATCCATTTTGTAATCGTTATGAAATTCTGGATTTAGTTTTGTAGTACAAATGCCAAAAATATTGGGCCCAATGTCTAGGATTGGGCCCAAAATTTATTGACAAAGAAATAAATTGATTTGTATAGAAAAATGTTGAATGTTGGGCTCAAGGTCTGGGATTGGATCCAATATTTTTGTAATTTGTACCACAAGTTTGAGACTATAATTTCACAATGATTATGATTATGTCAACAAATTTTGAGCCCAATCCTAGACATTGGGCCCAATATTTTTGGCATTTGTACTACAAAACTAAATCCAGAATTTCATGACGATTACGAAATGGATACTAAAAATTAGTGGGTTTTATTTTAGACAACTAATCTTTTTACTGTGGGCCTTACATTGGGCCGCGGAATCCTACATTGGGCTCTGTGCCCAATTTGAAAAGTAGCTTTGAATTTTGTAATCCTGTGACCCCAAAAACCCCCAAATATACGATTAAAAAAAATTTTTTTTTGTTTGTTGAAAAATGTTGGGCCCGATATCTTGGATTGGGCCCAATATTTTGGGCACTTATACCACATGTCTGAACGCAGAATTTCATGGGGATTACGAATTTGATATTCAAAATTAGTGGTCTCATTTAAGAAAACTACTTTTTTCATTGTAGGGCCCAATATTGGGCCCGGGGCCCAATTTTTTGGTTTCAACAATGTAGATCTTTTTGTTTGGAACAACTTTTGTATGGAACATTTTTTACGAAAATTCGTACTTTTCGAGATATTTGCAAGTTTCCATACTTTTGGAACACCCTGTATATACTTTTTAGCTAAAAGAACTATTTATTCCCAAGCAAAAATTTCTGTCAAACGCCGATATTGACAACAGGCGCAATCATGCACCAATACTGGCTGTCCGACAGTTGGCTTACCAGTATTGGTTCAGTGCTGATATGGATTAAATTCTGTACTGTTCCAATACTGCAAACCAATACCGCATGCCAGTATTTTCCAAAACTGTACCAGTATTATTGAGACAGTATTGGCAAACCATAGTACTCGGTCAGTATTAATCAAATAATTTTTTTTCAGTTTATATTTAATTTAATATTTTAAATGGACATAAATATTTATATTAAATTAAATATTGAATTAAATAATAATTAAGATATAAATACATTAATAAAATAAAAAGACAAAGAAAGTTCGGATAAAATGTTTTACGGTTCGGATAACCGCAGAAGGTACGGATAACCGCAGAAGGTACGGATAACAGGGGTTCGGATAATCAAGGTTCCACAGTATTATATTTGACTATACATTAAAAAATTAAACATAAATTTTTTCTGATTTTTATTCACTTAAATTAATTATTAAGAAAATTATTCACATTTTAAAAAATATCAATTCTCACTTATGAAAAGTTATTCTAATTCCTCCACACGAACCAAAGTATTTATATAGTTATAAAATAAAACCATTTTATTTACAAATAAGACGGACAATTTTTCACAAATAAATAAAAAACACTTGACAAGAAAAAACCACGATCACTGGATCAAAATTGCACACGGAGAATAATGGAAAAACAAATAAAGTAATTTTTACTATACTTTAAAAGTAAAACCGAAACTTTTCGGAGTTTCTGTGCATTTCTGGCAATTTTTACTCCAAAAATAGTAAAATTTAGTTCTGAAATAGTAAAAATTATTCCAGAAATAGTAAATCTTACTATTTTTGGAGTAAAAATTGACAGAAATGCGCAGAAACTGCGGACAGTTTCGGTTTTACTTTTAAATTATAGTAAAAGTTACTTTATTTGTTTTTCCATTTTTCTCCGTGCAAATGACCAAATAAACAAACGACAGAAACATTTCGGCGCAAATTTTAAAATTGACTAATCACAATTTTCTTAATAATTTTTGATTGGTCAACTTTAAAATTTGCGTCGAAATGTTTCGGTTATTTGCAATTTCGGTTAAATGAAAATTTGACGTTTTAAATGTTCTTTTGAAATGACAATTTGATCAAATGGAGCTTCGATGAAAAATAAAAAAAATTATATCTGATTTTTAAATTGTCCTAGTTATAGAATTTCTGTTAAATAATAGTTTGTTCGAATGACAATTCTCTTGAATCAAAATTCAGTTAAATATCAAAGTTCTGTTTAATAGAAATTCAGTTAAATAAAAAACTTCGGTACCAAAAAATTTTGTTAAGTAAAAATTCATTTAAAAAAAAGTTAGAATTTTCATTTCATGGAATTTCATTTATCATAATTATTTTTGAGACAAATTTCCATTTGTTCAAATTAGTATTTTGCAGAATTTGTCATTAAAACGATTTTCTATATTACAAAACTTTTATATAACCGAAAATTCACTTCACAGAATTTTTATTTGTTCGAATTTTCATTTAATATAATAGGCATTTTAAAGAATTTTTATTGCATTGAATTTCATTGCATAGAATTTTCATTTTATTCTTTCAGATGAATTTTCGCAGTTGTTCGAATTATGATTTGATATAATTTCCATATAACCGATTTTTTATACTACAGAATTTTTACTTAACCAAAAAATCATTTAACAGAATTTCTAATAGATAGAATTTTCATTTGTCCGAAATTACAAATGTCCGAACACATAATCGACAGAAAAATTTCAGCGCGATTTTTAAAATCAACCAATCACAATTTTATGGATAATTTTTGATTAGTTGATTTTAAAAATCGCGTCGAAGTCTTTCTGTCGATTTTTTATTCGGCCATTGTCAATTTCGGAGAAATGAAAATTCTATCAATTATATAGAAATTCTGTTAAATGATTTTTCGCTTAAGTAAAAAATTCTGTAGTATAAAAAATCGGTTATATGGAAATTATATCAAATAATAATTCGAACAAATGATAATTCATCTGAATGAATAAAATGAAAATTCTATGCAATGAAATTCTATACCCAATAAAAATTCTTTAAAATGCCTATATTATGTTAAATGAAAATTCGAGAAAATAAAAATTCTGACAAATAAAAATTTCAACAAATAAAAATTCTGTAAAGTGAATTTTCGGTTATACTAAAATTGTGTAATATAGAAAATCGTTTTGATGAAAATTCTGCAAACTATATACTAATTCGAA